TGGATTTAATTATACATTTCTTAACAAAATACCTATAGAAACATAACGGAGGTAATTAGTGCAATGTGAGTTGTGTAGGAATCAGTTCTCGGTCATCGGTTAAGTTCCACTCCGCGTAATATTTGAGGACTCACCATATCTGTAAAAAGAACGAAAAGTGGAATTGTTAACGAAATTTATTTACGCATAATTTCTGAAGTCGGCTGTCATTTATTTTGACGCGGGAAAATTGTCGTGACATCTATTAAAATAAAATATAAAACTGCTAAAAACAGCACTGGTCAGCGCTGAAATGGGTATCTTTATTCTAATGACAGGTTAGGTCTGTTATTATTTTCACGATAATTAGTTAAGTGCCTACTACTTATAGTATCCATTTCCCTCCATTAAAAAACTCATACTTATAGCTCTTTAAGCCTATAATGAAAGTATACATTTGTCAACCGGACGCTGACAATCCAATGTCAAAACTATTGCAATAACCACAGAGTAGATTAAATCAGTATGTAAACAGTACTCGTATTAGAATAAATTATTGATATAAAAGTAATATTGCTGTGGGAGGCCTCATAGTCCAGTGATGGACTGTTATTTATCTCGATTTGAATAAAGTGTTGTTCTACGCTACGATTTTCTCTTGCACATAAAATTGTGAATCACACAAAGAATAGTAAACATACAGTGCCGTACGGGAATCGAACCCACGACACCTTGCACAGCAGTCAGTTGTCCAGCCATTGCGTCAACAGTACAATTAGACAATTCTCCGTAGAAACACGGTGGCCAGTGTGTAACTGTGCTTTATCTTTAGTTTAGCTTCAGAACAAACCTAGTCTGCCCTCTGCAATCCGCAATACTCTGTGGTTCCTCTAGTTATTTATGCTGCTATAGAGAATGGCCGTCGAGGGAAATCGCCATAATGGCCAATAGGTACTACAGGCCAACTAAACTGGCCATATATTGTTTACATACGAGTATTTGGTATTATCGATGTATCTATAATAGCCTTGTTTTTCTACTACGCAAACTGATCGCTATCAATGTCGACAGACTTTTCCGGAATGTTTTGACGGAAATGATAGCAATTTCCATATTGTAATTGTGATTATGACAGAGCTACATTAATATTCGTATGTTCATGTCGTGTGGTGGAAACTTTTAATTGATCCCTATCGAAGGACAGGTACTATCAATCCTCAAATACTTTTGTGTTTCAACTCACACGTGTACGTGACATTTCGGGAATTAACATTTTGGTGTATTCAGCTGATAGTTAGGAAGCTCCTAACTGGTTCTTTCCTATTTTATCCTTATAAAACAAAACATTGTGTTTATTTTCTTATAATCTATAAATATAAAAGAAAGTCGTGTTGGTTACACCACTTATAACTCAAGAACGGCAGAATAGATTTCGCTGAAAATTGGTAGGGAGGTAGCTTAGAGCCAGGAGACCGACATAAAATACTTTTTAACCAAATTTTGTTTTTACTTTTTTCCGAAAATCACGAACGGGGACGGGAAAAAATGGGATTACGCGTACGAAGTTACGACTTTCTTTTATATATATCTATAGATAACATAAGCAGTTGTTTAAATAATAAGTAACATATTACATTCACTTAATGATTATGAATTTATGAATAACTTCTACTTAACCCTTACGAGGTCTTCGATCATTTTATTGACCTTTAAGTTATATAACTGCATCTAGAATAAAATTCTAGAATTTACATACTACCTGTGAACAACCCGTTATTAACCTTTAACCACTATCATTAAACTTCGAAGTGGCTTTGAAATTACGTAAGCAATGATCATAGGTCTAACTAGCTAAGTATATTAGCAAATAGCAGATATATATTTACTATGTAGGTATATAGGTAATGCGCTAAAGTAGCATGTATATATTGTTCAAAAATGTAAGAGGCTAGAGTGTTCAAAAATGTAAATCTTGATCATTTAGAAAGTGAAGGTTGACAATGAAACGGCTGTTTTTTAAATGTCGATGTTCAAAAATTTATTACACCGTCTCCACCATTATTGTAGCATTTTGAGACCAATGCCAATCGATGGGTCTCAGAGAACTTATCATTTTATTGTATGACAGCGAAACTAAAATATGTGTCAGTAAAAAGAAAAAAATATTAAACTTGTAATTATATAAGACTCGTAAACAATTACAAGAGAAGGGGCGAAACGCTCTTCTAATCTTAGGGATTCCATAAACATATTTTGTTTAACATTGCCCCACACTACGATTTTCTCTTGTATCGTGGGTGTGTTTACAAACATACAAGCTTAAATACACATGACACCCAGACCCGGAACAACAATCTGGATCACACATAGAGTTGTTTTGTACGAGAATCGAACCCGCGACATGTAACGCGGCGGCCAGTTGCCCAGTCACCGCTCCAACCGTACAGCGAATTAATTATGAGTTGATATGGATTGACGTTTCAGAAATAAGAGGAAATTATGTTACGTTTGTATATTATTCCACTTGCGCCAATCTTAATGTGTCACAAGTAGACAATAGTACCTATGTTCATTCATCGGTAACATTATGTAAGTAGAATGGGTTGCGGCGGAAAAATCTGCAGAAATATGCTGCATAAAACCTGCAATAACGTATTATGACTATTCGGTTACACAATGTATTAAAAACAGAAAATACTTAAGCTAAGAGATGAGAAAAAGAATATATTATTCATAATCTAGTATTCATAAATACGATACTCGTAATCTTAACCTTTACAATCATAAGTTATGAGGGCATGACGTCAGAACTAAAATCCGAGGCATAAAAAAAGAATAAACAATGAATTTTCTAATTTAAAAAACAAAATAGTACACTGCCCGGTCTAGCACATACTTCCTTAACACTAGTTATCACCTAAAATTCAAATAAGGAACTTGCTAATTCAAACTGATAAAAGTAAATAATTGTCTATGGTGTATAAGGCTAAAAACAGACTAGTGACTAGTGACTAGACACTGCAGAACACTCGTGTCTGAATGGCGGAGTATTGATTATGTGAAATCAAAACATGACGTCACTGGTACCTACTTACCACGGTCTGACGGCAACGGGATGACCTATGTATCTATCTGAATATTTTATAAGCTTTTCTTTTTTTAGAATGCCCGTTCCGTTTTCATAAAAACAATGCCAGTTTTCCTTTTTTTAGGCAAAGGTAATGTTTTCTTTTAAGCCGGTGAAGGGGAGGTTTTATTGTTTATTTTTTATGAGGCTATTTTTCGTGAAAATTATTGTTAGGTTTTGTAGACGGGAAACCCGTCTGTTGTAACCCGAAGTGTTGTAAATGTTAAGGTCTTGATACTCGATTAATGCCTTCGTTAATTATTTTCTAATTTGATGTTGGATTTTTCCGATAAAAGAAAGAAGCTAAGGAGCTTACCGTCATTCATACTCTGTCTGACATAATCCTCTTAAAACTAATTAATTACCACCGAAATAGGTCGTTCTAAAAACAAATCTTACTGTTATTTTAAGTCTTGCATGCTTATTTTACCTCACATACAAATTAAAACTAAACATAAGTTTTTAAATATGTATATTGACTAAGTTAAATAAACATATTCAGACAGAACCTGTTTATATAGATAAACTTGATCCAGTTCTTAGTCTGATCAAACATCAACTTTATTACGTAACGCTGTTATAAAAATATTTTATTATCCATTCCGATTGGTCGTTACTTTAAGTTGACTGTAACAATAACAAGCTTTAATGAGCAGAAGTTTTAGGAGTTAAATGAAATCTGAATGTTTGTTACTTATTTGATACTATCTGTTGCCCGCGATTTCGTCCGCGTAGAATATGATTCCCGTTTTATCTCATCGGACCATTTAATTAAGATAAAATACCCAATATCCTAAACCTAAGTCACCGCATACCCTGCCTGTATACCAAATTTCATCAAAATCCGTTCAGTATTTTTAGCGTGATTGACGGACAAACATCCAAACAGAGAAACTTTCACATTCATAATATTCCTAGATATAATAAAGAAGAACCTTTTTTAATATGTCTGTGATAATATTAGTGTTATTAATTACGTTTTCTTTCTTCATTATAAAGTTGGTAGTAACGAAACTTACGGGGTCCCTGATTACCCGTAGGTAACCTAACCTTTAACTAACCTTTAGCCTAACTACACTTTAGCCGCGGAGAACTTAACAGGATGTCGGGGCTCTGGCTCGAAGTGCAGGAGGTAGGAACGGGGTTGGTTTTTAGTCAGTAAGAGTCTGACACTCTCTCTCGGCTCAGAAGTCATTAGATGATTTTCCTCCCCTAAAAAAGCCTAACTACACTTGCAAATTTGCAATACCACAAATACCTAGGTATCATAAGTGCGTTGTTAATCATTTGCGAAATGCACTTCATTTTTCAGGGAGCCTTGTACCTCAAAAATTATAGTGTCTATTATTTCGTATTACATAATATCGAACCAACTTATAAGACTTAGTAGAATCGTGGAAAATCAGTGTAGTACCTACTTATTTGTACATAACAAATAGATTACATAATGACATAGCCCATCCCTTCGGCAAAAAACAACGATGTAACGGGGTTATTGTTTATTTATATCAATGGCTCCGTTATTTCTGGAATAAATTGCTTCGTTACACGTGTAGCTAACAAAGTGTAATCATGAGTATAATTAAATCTGAATTACATAGTTAATCGTCCACTGATTAAAATAACTTACTCGTTATTATTATGTAAAATGGTATCTTGATATGGTGAAATAGTAGGATGAGCAGTATTTACATTTTCTATATTTTTTGTGTGATATAATTGTCCTACATTAACATATGTCAAAATGAATATATCGAAATTGTCTTGGCCTTCAAAGAGAACGCGCGAAAAATCAATGTTATCCCGTAATAAAAAAGCTACCAATTTGGTAGTTTTTTGTTGCTATATTTTTATGCTCAGATTTTTGTTATTAATTTTGTAAATTCTTTTTCAGATTTATGTCTCACCAAACGTGGTCCACAACCAGGTTACATGTTTCTCTTCGACATGCGCGGTGTTAAATTCGGACATCTTACAAGAGTTAGTTTATCGTAAGTATATTTTTTACTTGTATTCTGTGAATCCATTATTTATTAATTGGCTTTCTAACTTGCAATTATTTTTTTAATTATTTGCATTGAATGAATTAATCACAAAATATATGTATTTTTCTTATATGTGAACTTTATGGCAATGTAATTAATGGATTCACGTGAACAAATTAAAAGAAAAATAAATTAAACAATTTTTCTATGCACAATGTATGTTAATGTTATGTTGTATACATATTTATATTTTCATAGCTTTCAAAAGGATAGACAAAGGTAAAAGATAAAAGATGTTCATATAAATGTCCCAATTTGCTTTATTATTGTTAAACTAATATTGCCATTAGCCATGAGATATTTTTTAAATACCCAAATACTTTCCATTAGGCATTTTTTTTGTTGAAGAGTACCTATTGTAAAATATAGTTTTGGTTGAAAATACATAATTCTTTGTACAATTTATCACAATGCTGTTGGTAATTTTATATGGCTATTCATTTGTTTGTATGTTATTTGTATACAAAGAAGTAGCATATCGTAATGGTTCATTAAAACTGCAATTTATTAGCTAGCTATTCATCTCGTAACATTTATGTCTAAAGGATTGCTTCCTTACATAGAGATCATTAATGTAATAAATGTGATAGTCTCCTCGATATGCTTATTTTAATTGTTCGTGGTCATCAAAAATTACATTAACATTTTTGTCCATCTCACAAATGTACCCTAGTGTCATTTTATACTGATAATTATATCTGCTTTATAATAACTCGAACTGAGTTCAAATTACACGTATAAAGGCTGAATATTAATGTCATAGGTAATAGAATGGTGTGTTAATGAAATCTAACCATTACTGCACATACATTATAGAGTACACAATAGCATGGCCTAGGTATTCGCTAAAACGTCTAAATGTCGTCTATTCAAACATCCATAAATGTTTTCAATATTAAAGTTTATTTTCAAAAAATTCCAGGTCGCTACGGAAATTCTTCCAGTACGTCCAAGAGGCCATGCCAGTGCGCATGCGCGCGATACATGTGCTAAACACAGAGCCAGTCTTAGACAAATTAATGGTCCTCATCAGGCCTTTTATGGATAAGAAGTTCTTTGACATGGTAAGTTTCATTATCCCCCTCTTCAGGCCGTTTTTAATTTCGCAAAGATCCCTTATAACTTCAAAAGTAGGTAATGCCTAGGGTCTGTACCATAGATAGAGCTGGTGATGGTGGTGGTTGTTTAGGTATCAAAGTCAATATAAACGAATATTCTATACTTCCTAGCGGTAACTGATAAAAGAATTTGTTTCAACAATTTTTTTCTAGTTAAAATTCTATATACCTTATCGTAGATGTTTTAATTCAATTAAATCAAATCTGATAACGCAATGCCATCACAATACATGATTTATATCGTTGTTGTAAATTAAAACTACAAACCTTCATTGACAATTATAAACTATTGCCATTATAGTAAATGTATTATTAAATGTGATAGGCGGTTTAAATCTATCATTAATCTGTCAAACACCAAGCGGTCACCGGTGACCGCGACCTATTGTTCTTTAATTGTGTCTATAAAACCGGTACTCGACGAGTTAATCAACATTATCATCATCAGCATAAGCCTAAAAGTGACCATTGCTGAGTAAAGGCCTCTTCTCACACGGAGAAGGTTTAAACATTAACCACTATGCTTGCTGAATGCGGTTTCACCACCGGTTCCTTCTAAACCTAGTTAACCTTTTTACACGAGAATATAAAATAGAATCAAACATTCGATATTATTTGTAGTTCAACATTTATTTTCATTATTAAATTCTACAGTATTACATTTCATATATCGTCAATAGAATTTACATGTGAAATAAATGTATTATTTAGGCTACTCCTGTAGAGCCATAAAACATAAAATCTAAACGTTAAACAAGAGAATAAATCACAATTTTTGCCTTATCGTAAATCATGAAATGTACTGCGCATGTCGACTAGTTACATACATATGTACATGCGTTCGCAATATTTGTTTATGTACACACTCAATGTAAGTGTTGACTTCGAACTGTTCAACTTGCAAATAAGTGTCTGACCTTGGCTTAGAAACATAATATTTTGATTCTTATTCCTAGAAGATGAAGGGATACAATCGTCATAAATATTTGATTACTTTACATAGTGGACAAAATATAGGGTCACATGCTTTTAAGGTTAATCTATACGTGTCCATATCTGTTTGATGTCTCAAGAATTCTCGGAAATTCGGAGACTTTCGAGTATCGGATGTTGTACACACGGCCACACATCAATCTATACAAAACCAGTTTATCGTGGTGTCGCGTCGCATCATCTTTCCGCACATTTAACGTTCAGTTTATACTGGTTATGTAAAGCTCGATGTGTAGCCGTGTGTACGTATGTCCTTGATACTCGAAAATACTTGACGTTTAACTCTAAATGTCTTTTAATCTTATTCAAATTAAATACTAATGTAATTCGATCGATTCAAGTTTAGAATAGCTATTGAGAATGCCAAATAAAATTTTAAATAGTACCAAAATTCATTAGACAGAGGAAATCTTCTGCCTACTACTACTTCTAGTAGATAAGGTATCATTAAAATACAATAACCTTATCGCATATTGCTTTACAAAACGAGTTTTGTAATTACTCTTTTGAACAAGTAGCCTGATATTAGGTCATTTTAATACTGGAAAAGTTTATGAATCCAAGATGAAATATATCATTTTTAAATTATACCGGTACTTGTAGAGGAAAAGTGTTAGGCTTAAAAATAAAACTGCAATTATGTTGCTTGGCATAAGTAAGGTTCACTGGGAGAACTGTATGAAATAAATTTTAGATCTATTTTCTCATATCTATATTCAATTTGAAAGACGCTGAAGAATACCTTGTCAGCTTTCCATCAACAAAGAAATATTGTTTTAGATATGTCTACTGTATTTAATAAATAAATTATCATATACTGCATGGAATGAAATCCTACTAACATTATAAATGCGAAAGTTTGTATGCTTCTTTGTGTTAAGTCAAAACTGCTAAAGGGATAGGGATGAGCATTAGAACCTTAGAACAGAGGTAGATTATGGTTTGGTAGAACATCAGACATCATCAACAACAACAGAGGTAGATTTTTACTGAACGGGACTGCGGGTGATGCAGCTGCACTTAATAATTAAGTTGTTAGTGATAGTGATATTGTAGATAGTATTTTCTTTCACTTAGGAAATACTTTTATGTGTGTTATTATTAGATAGTAGATACATATTGTTAAAGGACAAAGGAAAGACAGCTGTTTGTTTAAATATGAATGAATCATTGGAATGCACGTGCGCTTGACTTTAACTTGTTTCCGTCAAGGATATGGTTTTTGAACTTTTTGATATAGAAATATTTTAACAAGATTAACCAAGTAGTAGTATTTTTTATTAGTAGTGTATTACTATTGATTTAAAGACTAGAACCAACAAAAAATTACAATAAAGTGTTGTACTTATTAGCATACTGGACTTGATCCAGTAAGAACATGGGTTACCGGTTTACTAGGTAATCAATAACAACAAATTATCACCTTGATGAACTTTATTACCCGTGCCGTAAGGGTGGTTTTCCTGTTTCTTGAATAGTATTGTGAGACGGCGTAGTTGTCTCATCAACGTATAAAGTTAATACATATAGCCGTAGATTATTATGAAGCTGAATAAGTATCTTGTTAATTTTCATTTTAAAGCTCAATTTTGGCATAAATGAATTATGATGATTAAATAAATCAGCCAATTCATCTAAATAGATCCGTTTCAGAGCATTAGTACCATAATACTTCTGTTCTTGGAAAGTATGGCTTTACTATGGTCATAGTACGACTCTCAGAAACAAAACCCGCTTACGAAATCGCGAGGCATTGCTAGTAAGTAACCCATAAACAATGTGTTAAATACGTCAAACATTAATTTATTTGTCTAACAAACCTTTCGCAACCAGTTTTCGAACTTGTTGACATTTATAATATTATGTCCTTGATACACCTAATATTATATGAATGTCGAAAAAAATATATTTATATCCTACTGACTCCATAATAAAAAGACAGTTTAGTTAGTCCAAAAATCTCGAAAATCTAGTTTCGGAGAATCCTTCATTTATTCGGAGGTCGATGATTTCGAAAGTGATTGTCTTAAAACGATTTTGTACAAAAATGGAATCGTGCTACTGACCTTAAATTAAAATAATTATTTGCATTCCTCTCACCAATATGGACCCTATTTCTTCTTTAACATGTTAGCGGAGGAATTACCTTCAATTTTTATTCGCAGTCAAAGCTTTAATAATTATTTATTAACAAGCAAAAGGTCTGTCTGGTTGAATACTAAAATCTAAAGAACTATTAAAAGGATCAAAAGGATAAAGCAATACTAATAATTTGAAAATATACACATATTATTTAGTTTTGGTTAAGTCTTTGGATGATTCCTATCCTACTTTATAAATGTTTTTCTGATGCATTCACATTTAACTATTCCAGCTCAAATTCCACAATAAAAATGAAGATCTGGAGAAGTTTTACGAGACTGTTGTGCCACGATCTTCACTGCCTCCAGACTACGGCGGCACTCTACCTGACACACAGACTCTGCACAAGAAGTGCATGCAGCAGCTTCAACTCATGGAGCCCTACTTCAAAGCTGAGGAGGAACAGAGGATCACGGCGTTACCTGACAAGAAGCGAGAGAAGGCCATGGAAAGGGCTTTCAAGAATCTCGATATCGACTAAAGATATATTCCTATAAAAAGGTAAATGCTGTCTATTTTAGTAGAACTTTTTAGCAGTGGAACGACTGGTTTCATAAAAAAAATGTAAATAGGAATAGAACGTGTTCTATTTTTAAATGTGTAAGCATTTGACAGTTCTGTTTTTTATGTTAGTTGCCAGTCCAAAAATAGGTTTTTTTTTAGTATAATTTTCAAAGATGCATTTGTGTTTTTTTAAGTTCAGTTTGGAGGAATTGTAATATTAATCTTGACGTGTGATTCGGAAGCATAGCAAAGTAACGACTATTTGGTAGTACCTACACACAAATATCTGTCAATTATAAAATATCTAAAGTAATAGATAAATAATGAGATAGTACTAATACGATTATTAGAAAATCGCAAAAGCTAAATCTAGTTAGTAACTATGAGAGAAATGAAGGCAAGATAACTTACAAATATTATTTTTGTATTTAAAAGACAATTTTATTGGTTTTTATTTCGTTTTAATATGTGGATATTTAGAAAATTGACTGTTGTTATACTATATATATATGTTAGAAAGTTAATATAAAGATGTGTGTGGGATTTTATTTAGATAAAGCTTAGCTTTATAGATTACCTATAAATTTATTGAAGAATTTATATCATGTTTTTAGTCTATGATTCTTAGTAACTACTTAAATTTTGTCGAAAAATAAATACAGTTAATTGGTCTCTTTTTGTTATTTTGTTTGTCATGTAGAATCATGAACTAAGTACACGATATAAGATCTCTTATTAATTCTATGAATAAATGTTAAATAAAAATGGTATATTACTAAATTCAAATCGTCAAGTGTTCATGCTTAAGTCAATGTATTTAAATTGTTATTATTGTGATAGATTATCTTATGTATGTATTAATAATATGATACTTTGTGATATTTTCAAAAGTATTTACAATTTATTATTTAATTTAAAACAATTTACGAAGTCTTGTTTTCAGTGATGAAATATTTTACAATTATTAGTCAAAAATTATATTCAAAGGTATATATTATTGCTTACTGCATCAAAAATATAACTTAATTAAAATATGATAAACGAAAATCACTGATCTTAAACTATTATAACAAAATATATAACTTGTATAAGATTATCGCACATATGTACTGGATTATCTAAAGCTGTATAATTATCATCAAAATGATAAACGTTTGGGCTGATATCAATTCTTAATTTGTGATAGTATTTAATTAATCTTAATAGATATGCAAAATAATGTGGTTAATCTAAACACTAGTATCCGCTACAGGCATAAGTATTATAAAAATAGCAATGGAATAAACGAATCAATATTGTACAAATCCATAAAAAAACATTAAAGAAAAAAGATGAATAAGAAAGGAAAGTCTAAAGTACTAAGAATAAAAAAACAATAGTTTTTCTTAAACGTTAATCTTCTAGTGGTAATACGGATAGACTCATTGTTCATCCTTTGATATCTACAAAGAATAGTCGAGATGTAATAGTTAATGATAAATAAAACAAACCTCTAGTTGCAGTTCCGGCGTAAGGGCCACTGACACCTCGGGCCTGGAATATATTGTGGCGCCCACTTGAGGGAAGCTATATGAAGTGTTAGTTTTTTGCTGATCCCAAGTAAAATTATGTTAAGAATTTCAACTTACCTTTAGCGGTACCCAGAGCTAAAGACGCGGACCAAAAACCCTTTAAAAAAATCCATCTAAAAAGCGCGAGCGTAGAGCACAGTTCTGAGGGTTTGCACCAGGAGAGACAAGAGACTTCAGACCCAGAATTTGTCGCCCTGCGCCAACGCCCCATCACGAACGCCCCCCCCCCAAAGCCGGCACTGTCTAGCTGCTTACCACTTCGCCGAATAAAATACTTGACGTCACATTACATTATGTAATTAGCATTTAATAAGCAAAGTACAATTAATTAATTCCTTTCATTGATCCGCTTATCGCAATCGAAATGTCGATTAAACATTAAATATTCCATCATTACCAGATTGTATCCATTATTACTTGTTGATATTGAAAATTGAGAATTTCTTTCTATGTTAACTTAAATTGGGTAAGAGCGTTACCTAGTCATAATAAAAGTCATTCAAACGCTATTGGACTTTGTCATTTGTATTTTTATTTTCAGTTGCTTATAAAATGTTTTTTAGTTTTCTATTTGTTTATGTTCAACATAAATATAGTTACCCTAGTTTGGTATACTTAACAAGCTCTTTAAAATCTTATGTAATGTATTCTATTATTCTCTTATTCCTACAAAATTTTCTCTTAGACATAACTAACGAGACTTGTATATATGTACTTAGTATTAAGACACTGTAATGTCTTATGTTATTCAAAACAATTGACGCTCAATTATGCATTAAAATTTAAACGAGCTAAGTTCATGTTGAAAAGTTTAATTAATTTTGTTAGTAAAATAACGTTTTGTTTCTAGATTTTTGGCATTAACTAAACATTTTTATTAAATGTTCGACAAATTGTTGTATTTTAAGTGGCGGGTAATTGCCATGACGGTTGTTTTATTAATTTGAGCTGCTTTGACAAAATGAAATGACAAGAATTGGGACCTGAATAGTAAGAATTGTGTTTCCATGTAAATTCAGTAGCTAAATGATATTTATACAAGTTTTTCTTGTTATAAATGGCGTCACTAGAGTTGTAAGGTGGCGGAAGCATAGGTACTTAAGGTTTTGTATTCATATGCACAGTAGATATAGATTTAGTTGAAAATTCCACTTTATTCCTTAATAAAGTTTGTGATAAATGCTTGTGTTGTTGAAATGTGTTACGTTGATTCCAAGAATCGGATATATTTGTGATTTGAAGTAGAAATATATTTTTATGCAATAGACTGTTTTTTTTTATTTTTCGAATAATTATCTGAGACATTTTAATCCGCGTAACAATCAGATTTAAGCATTCTTATGAAAGTTGATAATATTTCGATTCAATAGTCAAATCAAAAATAAAACCTTCAAAGACATAAAATATTTTAAACCACTAGCGCCATCTCTTGACTCAAAGTCCGAACTAAACTTCAATAAACGTCATACAAAAATGGTAGAAAATTAATTTGACGTTTGTCAATTGGTAGAAAAATTTTAACATGTGGCAACTGGACGCAACTGTCATTTCATAACGGTTGCGGAACACCTGCCGGTTTTTTTGTTTACAATATTCAAACGGAAAGTTATGAATGAAAGTTATTCTTCCGATTATAAATTCGTGATAAAAAGTACTGATTATTTCGTGTAGTGTGTGTATGTATTGATTTTCTTGATGTTTACTGCGGTTTCTGGGATTTATCAAGGTATGAATATTATTTGTAAAATCATATTTCTATTGTTATTTTATTGAATGAAAATCACTTTCTTTGCTAACAAAAAGTGGTCAGAAATGTGTGCTTTGATGTTCTCTACAATAGTATATGCCACCTAGTTATTTTCATTACTATATCTTCATTGGTTTTAAATCAGACTTCAACAAAGTTTGAATGATTATTCTAAGTTGTAAAGTTGTAACTAATTAGTATTACAATTATATTGTTTTAATAATTATGCTACTAACATAAAACCCACTTGATATTTTACATATCTACAAATATTAATTGTAAACGAGTTTAATCAGGTAATTATGTTTTTTAATCATCCCACAGCATTTCTGCATGTTTTCTCAACTTCATACTACAATTTACCCCCCATTATTAATTTCCAGGTCACAATGGACTCCATAGACAACAACCAGTTTGAAATAAAACCTATAAAAAGCAAAAGGAAGATTGCAGCACCTTGTCCAAACACATACTTGAATCCGGCACTGGACATCCTCGCCAACGAAGACCCTATGTGCAACACAGCCATGGAAGTCATCCCCATAAAGAAACGGAAAAGAACTAGGAGTTGTGGAGACATAGCTACCTTCGACAACTCCGCTTTAGACCTAGGTGTCAACAAAGCCGTAGTTAACAAAGTATTAGCGAGAGAAATCGAAAATGTACGCAAAAATGTACAAACTGACAACTCTACTGATGTTAGTATGAATTCCGAAATTGTGCGCAAAAACATTCAAAGTAATGTTACTGACGTCAGCATGGATGTTATTGAAACTGAACCAGTTTATGCCAATTTAACTGAAATACAACATTCCCAAAAACCTGTAGACTCATCTATAACAATAATAGATGAAACACAGAATAATATAGTTTCCAAGATTGATAATAATGATGTTATGGAAGTAACTATACCGAACGATGATATAGATTCAGGCATATCAGTTTTGGAACAGAAGTCTTTAAGCGCAGTGATGAAAGATGACACTACCATGCCGTCTCCCATAATAAACATACAAACAAATGTTACAAACCAAGTATTTATAAATAACTCGAGTAATCTTAATCTCAGTTTCATAGACAGACTTGGATTGGACTCACCGAATTTATCAAACCAGTCTCTGTTCTACGATGATGATTTAAACGAGAGCAACATAATGGAGATCAAAACGATTACAATTATAACTAAAAAGAAACGAATAAACACTAAGAATACTAATCCTTTCTTAGATCCGAACATAGTAAATGTTGTTCCGAGTTTAGAAGGGAAACAAAACCCATTTTTGAACCTAGATGCTAAACCAGAACTGGAATATAATGAGGAAGTCCTAACTAGACCTGTAGAAGTACCAAACCAGGCTGAGAAAGTGCTAGAACCACGAAGACTCTTTGGAGATACAAACAGTACAATATCAACTGTAAATGAATCTTTAGAGCAACACGAGTATGAGAATATTGACAATTACAGATCAGATAGTCCCGTATATGAAAATATTGAAGAAGTCAATGAATTTAACAAGCAAAGCCGGATTTTAGGACACGATGTCTCTCAGTTCAGTGCTATAGACATCATAAATATAAATAAAAACTCACACCAAGATGTATCTAACGAATCTAATGAGAGCAAGAAATCGAAGAACCCACTTTTGAGAGTTGGTAACAGGTTATCCAAAAGAGTCTTCAAAACACTACGAAAAACTTTTAAAGGAGAAAAAGCAGATAATAACATCACATTAAATCCATACGAGGTACCAAGGAAACCGCCTAAACAGAAGACAGAGACAAAAGACTCGGGTATTGAAAACCCAGCATTAAATTTAGATAATTCAGATGAAATAGAGATCGAAGAATTAGATGAACATGAATATGAGACTGTAAAAACATTAAGAAACACACATTTAAATATGAATATCACTCCTTTGAAGGAAAGGAGTGATAATTCAGATATTTCACATAATAGAACTAATACACCTGGAAAGAAAGTGCGATTTGATTCGACGCTGAATCAAGAGAAGGTGATCACAGGGAACAGTTTTGATTATGATATCCAGAGCCCGGGTTTTGATGCTAAAATAGATAAATATCATGATGAACTAGAAAATTGTATTAATGAGAGGAAATATTTACAACAGAATATGTGAAAATATCGATCTGTAAATACTAAGTACTTAGGACTAATTAGGTCGTAGGATATCGTAAATGTGTTTATCAATCTTGAACTGAAGAAAAAGTACCTTTTATCAAATATTTTTGTTTTGAAATTATTAAAGTGAAGTACTTACATGCACTAAGTTTCACACATAATTCATAATATTTTGTCTAATAAAATATGTCGTTTATTAGTTAGGTTGCTATTCGTCATATTTATATGGTTTATGTTTGCTAAATCATGTCATGTTTTTTTTAAGTTGATATTTTTAAATTTCCTATAATGTCCAAAGCATAATAAATTCCAAAGTTTCAAGTTAGGCATAGAATTTTAGTTTTGTTAATTTATATTATTTGTGTATTTTTATTAATGTTAATTACGTATTTTATGAGGCTAACAACTGTAACATAAGTACTTCTTTTAATTGTGTTTACCTTACATGGGTAAACAAGGCGTTATGATATATGTAGTTGCTAAAAGATCATGAGTAAAATGGTTTAGATACTATTTGATTAGAAATAGTATTATTAATTTAAGTATTATTTAAGTTTTTCGTATATTTATTATGATTTAATTTATTTTGAAAGTTAATCTTATAAGTTATGATGTAATTTGTACAATATTTATACAAAATCTTGCCAAATAAATGTTCAAATCTCGCATTCAGTGTTTATATTTTTCTATAGCTTATTCTATAGGTTTTGCCGCGGAGGACTTAACGGGTTGCCGGGGTTCCGGCTCGAAGGGCAGGAGTAGGAACGGGGTGATTTTTAGTCAGTTAGAGTCTGACGTTCCCTTTCTCTTCACCCAGGCGGGAGAAGTAATTCGATGATTTTCCCCCCTTAAATAAAAAAAACTTCTATAGGTTTTATTTATTGCTAACTTACTGAGTCTAGGTGATCTTGGTTAGTAACTAGGGTCATTATTCTATATTTGATCTATTTTTGGCTATGTGGTTTAACATCTAATAGACTAATAAGCATGAACATGAAGACATTCAAAGAAATATACTACGGAGCAGCAGAGGACTTAACGGGTTGCCGGGGCTCCGGCTCGAAGGTTACGAGTAGGAACGGGGTAGTTTTTAGTCAGTAAGAGTCTGACACGCCTCACCCAGGCGGGAGATACAATTAGATGATTTTCGCCCCTTTAGAAAAAATACACTCGTGCCAAGCGCCATCTGCAGGCTCTACATTGCAGCTGTCGTTGGTCAAAGAGCCAGCTGGTCTCACGTAATGGCAGGTGCCATTACTAGAAAAAAAAACTAACCTTTTGTGAAATCGATCTTCTACTAGCAATAGCAAAAAAAGTTAAGTTTTTCTACAATTTGATAAGAAGCCTTATTGGTTAAAGCCTTATAATATTAAAACTATTAATTAGATTGATTGAAACTGGAATTCAAATTTTGTAAATTGGAAAGGGAATACCTAAGGTAAATAGATACAGGACTCATGACGGACTACGACGGAAATCGAACCTGCGATACATTGTGCAGCAACCGCGTAAACAGTCACCCAGTCACTGACCAATAAACCGTGCATCGGAGGAATTTATTTATTTTGTTTTAACTCCTTCACAAAAATAAAAATTGCTGTGAATGGCGGACTTAATGCCATAAGGCATTCTCTGACAGTCGACCATAGGGAAGTGCAGAAAAATGAAGCGGTTGATGCGAATATGTAGATAGGTATAAAACTTAAAAAACATTATAACATAACATAACATCACGCCTTTTATCTCCGAAAGGGTAGGCAGAAGTGCACACAGAATTGACACCCACTTTCCACTATTTATGTTATGAATATGGCTCACAGAATATCGGCAAATTTCCAGACTCCGTGCTACTACTGAGATTTTTTAAAACCCAGTAATACTTTGCCCGACCCGCGAATCTAACCCGAGACCCCTAGCCTGGCAGTTGCACTTGCGACCACTCGGCCAACGAGGCAGCCAAAAATGTTTAAGTAAGTAAGTATCTAGAAAATGCATCCAACCCATGAGGTATTTAGGTAATTCAAGAGTCACGCTTGCCACCATACTCGACCAGCTATGCATCCCATCTAGGTATTAGGAGCAATTTTTCAATTTGTTCCTCCCTCAAGGCCTTAGCATAGGGCAGTGCAACGAGCAAGGCAACCCACCATAAACTATCCAAACTCATCAGTTCAATTTCAACCTTATACCTTACCGTTAAAGTTGATATTTGTTTAAAATGTATTCCATTTGGGGTAGCTTCATGAGCCTGGTTAAATTGCAACGTGCATTCGTCAGTGTTTTATTGAATAATAGTGTGCACGTGTTTGTACGTTCATAGTTTTAATAGAATAATGACAGGTCTAACTAATCTGTTTTTGTGAGCGAGGTCGATGGGTCAGCTATACTCAATATTCTCCGTTCTATTTTAAATTTCATGCCTCTAAGAAAACGAGTAACCCGGGGGTTAGAACTAAAAGACAAAAAACTAACTATTGCTAGTATTTTTTTTATTTATACCTATAAATAGTTACTTCCGCGCGGTTTCACTCGCTCTGCTCGGCGCCTATTAATCGTAGCGTGATATTTTATAGCCTATAGCATTCCTCGATAAATGGGCTATCCAACACAGAAAGAATTTTTCAAATAGGACCAGTAGTTTCGGAGATTAGCGCGTTCAAACAAACAAACAAACAAACAAACAAAAAACCTCTTCATGGCTTTATAATGTTATATTAGTATAGAACCTATAATTAATCGAGTTCCTTCGTCATACAGTTCCAGTGAGTCAGCCGTTTGTCGTGTTGCGGATAGCCTAACGGCTTCGGTAGTCTGTAAGAGTCTGACACTCGCCTGCCTCATCCAAGGTAAGAGGAGTCATTGGATGATTTTCTTGGCCAAAAAAGGGTTCTATCCATTTCTAAGACGCTAGTTTAGATCCTGCCTCACGCTAAGTAAGTAACTCTTAGTTAAGAGATGATCCTCATAATCGTCGTGGTGGCCCGGAGGTCACGACGTCAGACGTCACGTCCGCTTTTCACGCATGAGGGTGCGGGTTCGAAACCTACCAACGGCAAGTACCAATGTGACTTTTTCCGGTTATATGTACTTTCTAAGATTATTAGATAATAATGATGTATATTTAGATACAACTGACAAAAGGTGAAGGAAAACATCGGGAGGAAAGCTAGGATTATAATTTCTAAATATAAGTTTGAAATCGCCAACCTGCATTGATCAAGCGTGGTGATTAATGCTCAAACCTTCTCCGAGTGAGAAGAGGCCTTTGGTCAGCAGGGGCCACTTGTGGTATAGACTGTTGATGATGATGATGAAGAGATGGTTTAGGTTAGTAAGCGCCATAAGTTACGTAGGTAGAATAGGTACTTTAGTTACTCACTTAACCATTTGTGTACTGACGCAACAGCATAATTATCAGCTGACGTCTATAACTCGTCAATAGAGCTTCCTTCCGATAACCGATCGAGTTATGATAATGTTGTTTGACGTTCATAGATCCTGAGAGATAAATTATGTGCATTTATGTAGTGTACACAACATACTATACACTAGCTACTTCCTACGGTTTCACACGCTCTACTCAGCTCCTATTGGTCGTAGCGTGATGTTATATAGCCTATAGCCATCCTCAATAAATGCGCTATCCAACACAAAAAACATTATTCATTTCAGACTTGTAGTTACGGAGTTTAGCGCGTTCAAACAAACTAACAAAAACAAACTCTTCTTCTATATAATATACTATTACCTATATTATATCTTCTTCTATATAATAGTAGAAAAAGAGTTTTTTTAAGGGGGGAAAATCATCGAATGACTTCTTCCGCCTGGGTGAGGCGGGACGGAGTGTCAGACTCTTACTGAGTAAAAACCACCCTGTTCCTTCTCCTGCACGTCGAGCCGGAGCCCCGGTAACCCGTTAGGTTCTCCGCGACAGTATAGGAGTACAGAATAAGATAACCAGTTTATCGTGATCTCGATTTGTAGAATCTTTCTGCACCTTAAACGGTCAATTTATACTGGTTCTGCATAACTTGATGTAACCGTGTGTGTGCGTAACTGTAGTGACTTGCACGTCAACCTACTCCTATCCTACTATCAAAAATATACTTTATTATTTTGATATACATTCGAAAATCCAATAATAATTGACGGTTTGTAGTTGCTTAATCTGCCGTGGGTACCTAATGTTGGAATAGTGTCCAGTTGAACAATCTTCAGTGTTTAGATAGATAGGTCTATTTAATAGGGTAATTCTATTAATGAGCAGTCGGGCGTTAAGTTTTCAGTGATCTAGAGCGTGTTATTAGTTAAATAATCAAGCGTTTTGAATAAAAAGTATTCAGACACTTCAATTTTGTTTTTCTTGTTTACTTGTTTTTTCAGCGTGGTTTGTTGCATATCCACCGAAATTCATAACGCATAAATCAATAACAGTATACACTTTTATTGAATTTGTCTAAAACCAAGATCGATCTAAAAAAATAACTAACTTGAGCATAACATAACATCACGCCTTTTATCTCCGAAGGGGTAGACAGAGATGCACATTATGCCATTGTACAATGTAACACCCACTTTTTACTATTTATGTTACAAGTCCCATGTAATTGGGGGTGAGCCAATTGCCATATACCGGGCACATTTCCAGACTCCGTGCTACTAATGAGATTTAAAAAAAAAACCATTAGTACTTTGTCCGACCCGAGAATCGAACCCGAGACCCCTTGCCCGGCAGTTGCCAGGCACTTGCGTCGTCTAGGCCAACGACGCAGTCTTTAGTTAGTTTAAAATGTTTTTAGACAGATAAGTTTGGGTGTCGATGGGGCTAACGTAGCCTATAGGTTAAAAAAAACAAAATACCATGTCCAAATTGTTACTTCATAACTATGGGGGTCATTTTCATCAGCTGACAGATGTTTTAAAACACGATCGTCTCTTGTTAAGGCACTTTTATTGATCATATTGTTTTTTTATTGTTCGGCTATTGCTATTGGTCCGTTACATATGAATTTTGAATGTTTCAATTGCACTTCAAACAGTTGGATGTCGCAAGTTGTTAGGTAGGTACCTATTTATTTTATTAAAAACAATCTCTTGATTTGTTCGGCTTGTTAGACTTTGGATTTTATTTTTGTAATTTTAGCTTGGG